TTATGATTTGAATATTGATTTACAGGGTACATGGGTTTTTACGGGAGTCCAGGGATACTTGTTGTTACAGGGTTTTAGGAATTTTTACAAGGAAGATTCCTTAATTCCGGGAAAAATCCCTGTTTTTTCTGCTATTTCCCGTAAAAATCCATGAAACCTGGTAAATATCCTAGCTCCGTGACGTGGACTGGTACGATATTCAAATTTGTGCAGTTACGGGGGTCAGGTAAATAATCCCGTAAAAACTCCCGCTCCCCTGTAACTTTCGTCCACAGTGTGTGTGGCACAGGTAAATTTAAAGTTCTATGGGGTTTGGAGACATCAGCAGCTTGCCCACGCTGCGGTGACTGCTGCACTGATTTGGCAACAGCTGAATGGGACTGTCGCACTGCAGCCTTCTCCGTGTAGCTGGACCTGCAATTGACGGGCCCTTCCATCAAAACAGCGACCCTACAGCTTCTTCAAGGCGTTTGCTCATCTACTTTGTTTCCTCTAAGGACCATCCCTCCTTTGGTTCGGCCGGCCTTCTTGGCTCAGCAGGTGACTGGGTCCCAAGGCCTTTTGGAGGGACGCATAGCCTTGTCGTTGCTTCGCTCCAACAACAACATTATGACAAGATCAGATGTCAACGATCTGTATATCTTTGGGCGTTTCGCCTCTCACAACAGCTGATCTTGATCGGCTTTTACATGTACGGAACTACGTTCAACATTTGAATGATAACGTTCAACTACCTGAACGTCACAGTACTGTCAATGAGGGGATTCACTCACATTTTGATATGGGGGCCGATGACTTGCCTAAGGAAATTCAACCGATGCTAACAAGCCGTCAACCAGTCCTTTGCAAGTCATTGGTGGACAAGGAAGAGTGGCTTCAGTTGCTTTGTCAGGAACACAGAGATTTCTGTCGCTCCATGAAAGCACAATGCCACAGTCTGCGGACTATTTTCTCCCCTGGACCCTGACCAACTTTTTGCGGGACCTTACATGCCCCAAATTCACCCCGCCACGTCGCAGGAGAAGTCTTTACCCGCTCTTTGGGAGACTTGAGCAACTTCTGTTCATCCAGATGCCTCACATAGTTCAAACTTGTTGTTGACTCACCGCTTCACAGTACTTGACCTTTACAGCCGAATATTTTACCGGCAATCAAATGCCCACAGAGTAGCATATTAACGATTAATGTCTCAGTTATTATTATTATTGGTTCTCCAATTTAGCAATACTGTTTTTTTGGCTTTACAAATATCCCTCTTTGCAAAAGATACTTTGTTGTCGGCTACAGTTTTGTAAAAAGTTGAAAGCTTCATCAAGCTTAGACATATCTACTGATGTAGCATCATAGACGTACAGACCAGGAGCATTGCATGTTAATTTCATGACGTGCTTCTCTCAAATGTGAAGGCTAAACCCATGTTCAGTCTCAGTGTCCAGAGTCACCCATAATAGTTCAGGGATAACAGCCGGAGACAGAATAGGAGCAAAGCATCTCAGGCTGTACTGCATGGTTAAGACAAATAGCTGAGACATTAATTGTTAGGAAGCTACCCTATGGGCATTTGATTGCCGCTATAATATTTGGCTAGAAAGGTCAAGTACTGTAGAGCGGTGAGTTTGAACCACGTGAGGCATCTGTACACAACAGAAGTTGCTCATGACTTCTCCCACAACAAGGGAGGGGTAAATTTGGGGTGCTTAATGTCCCACAACTGGTTGGAAGTGTTCAGGTGGTGGAGAAGAGAAGGCTACAACATTGAGCTTGGAATGAAGGCCAACAAGTATCATTACCTACAGAACTGTATGGCTTTGCAGACCATACCGTGTACATTTTTATATGTGTATTTTTGGTAAACTGTAATACTAGCTACAAATGTGGCAGAATGGACCTGGCGGATTTGAAGAGAGACTTGGATCAGCTTGTGATTGGCAGCTGGTGGCGTCACGGAACGCTTGAGAAGCCAAAGCGTCAGTTGGCAAGCGCAAGCCCCACAAACATAGATTCTGATCAAAGGAGTTTGCACTGTCAAACATTCCATTCATCTGTGTGACCGAAGAAACATCCCATGGTGACAAGTCTTGATTGAAGGATAACGCTGTGTCAAACATTCCAACCATATTTCTCACAGAAGAAACATCCCATGATGACAAATCTTGATTGACGGAGGTTGCACGCCAGAACATTCTGTACATGCTAACCACAGAAGAAACATCCCAAGACGACAAGTCTTGATTGAAGGATGTTGCGCGGCTGAACATGTAATTCATGGAAGTCACAGAAGAAACATTCCAAGACGACAAGTCTTGATTGAAGGAGTTTTCCCCATCAAACATGTAATTCATGGAAGTCACAGAAGAAACATCCCAGGACGACAAGTCTTGATTGAAGGATGTTGCAAATGAGAACATTCCATGCATACTTGTTACAGAAGAAACATCCCATGACGACAATTCATGATTGAATGAATATGCAGAACCAAAGATGTGTCTCATGTTGGTAACTTTTGAAACATCCCATGATGATAAGTCTTGATTGAAGGATGTTGCATAACATAACATGTGATTCATGTCCGTGACAGAAGAAACATCCCAGGATGACAAGTCTTGATTGAAAGATGTTGCATACAGGAACATGTTATTCATATCAGTGACGGAAGAAACATCCCAGATTGACAAGTCTCGATTGAAGGATTTTGCCATCGAGAACATGTAACTCATATTGGTGACAGAAGAAACATCCCAATTTGAAATGTCTTCGTTGAAAGCAGAACGATCCTTGAAAAGTTGATACATGCTGGTCACGCCTGCACCAAAACACCAGTCTCCGACCGGACCATATGTGTTTTTGACTGATGCCTTTGACTGAGAAGACTGAAACCAGTTCCCAACTGCATCAGAAAGCTCGTTATTTGATTGAAAACAAGTCACTGTTGGTGCGGGAGTTGGGTTCATTGTTGGTCCAAGAGTAGGCTGCGGGGTTGTGGTTGAAACTGCAAGTGGCAACGTAGTAGGCACGGGTGACTGGTCTATTCTGTTTGTAGGTGTTGCTGAATCAATGTATCCCAAACGTGTAAGACTAATTTTTTCATAGACCCCAGTTAATTCAAATTTTGCAGCAAGAACCCCATCTCCGAAAAAGGTACTGAGTTCTGCAATCACATCAACAGCATTTACTGACTCATCTTTCACCAAAATATCAAGTGCCACATTGACTCGATGACACCGTAGATTGAAATCATCCAAACATTTTTCTTCTTTGACTCCAAAAGCATTAATTGCCACATTGCTAATAGGGTACGTGAAGGAACCCTCTAGATGGCGAAGACTTCGCATGTGTCGGACAATTCGATTGCATCCAGTTAGTGCAGGGATGAGCAACTCCATCAACTTCTTCTCAATAATGTCAGCTGAAATGCTGAGATTCATTGGAAGAAGTGGAGTCGCATCGAGCTCAAGTTTATATCGCTGAACGGTCATAGCTTCTTGGCCTTTTATAGAGGCTCCGTCGGCGATGGATGCACAATCTTCTGCTGTTGGTGAGTCAAACTCGACCGATGATGATGAATTGTCACGAGTCCAAAGCCATGCTCCAAGAGCGACAATTGTAACAACAGAGATAAAAAGTAGGCAGCAATAGGTTCGAGCGCCCTTCTTCTGTAAGCATCGATCCCAGTTGATTCCACCACCTGTGTCTTCCTCGTCTTCTTCATTACCTGTGTCTTCCTCGTCTTCTTCATTTTCTTTGTAAGAGTTGACTTGGTCGTCGTCAGTACTTTCCACAGCATAAGCCGTCACGAGTCCATCCATGTTTGTGCTACCATCATCGAGCTGATCTCCCGGTGCATTGGTAGTTTGGATATTTGCCTCCTCGCTGGTTCGGCGATCTTGGTCAAATCCAGTTCCACGAGGTTCAGCATGCACGTCTGGCATCGGTCCAGTGATTGCTTCGTTGGATCGGTTTAGGATGTCTCGAACAACATTGGCACGCTCAGTACGAGCCTTTTCCTTAGCCTCGTGTTCTTGTTTGCTTCTCTTGGTTCTCCGAGGTTCATTATTCCTCTTTGTACCGGTGCTTTCCTCATTTGTAGGAGCAGTATTATTAATATTACTAATACTGCTGCTGTTGCTTACGCTTTCCTCAGAGGACTGGTTCATGGTGTTGTAATCGTCTTTTAAGCGACACGGAATGATGAATCGCGTCCGCAATAAATGCTTCAAGCAATCAAGAGAGTTATTTTTGGGAAATTTGTTTGATGTCCCGTCATCTCATAGGCGTAATGAGTGTGGTCGTAGAAGAGAAGCGTGCATGGCAAATGAAGACTACGATGCTGCATTTTACTTATGGGAAATTACCCGGCAAACTATCCCTTTGCGATTCAAGGTTTTCAACGGAGTTCTTCGAACAGCGAAGCAGTAGTGCCTTCCACGCAGGGAGCAGGCCTACTGTGCGATGCGGTGCGACTGAAAGCATACTCATCAGCAGCGGCATCCCATCAAATATACTAGGTATGTATCCAGCGGAACATATTAGTTTACACTGCTATGACTACTCCAAAACCTACTCAAGAATAAGAAAGGCTTCAAAGTTGCTGTCGTCGTTGTGAACGATGTAGCGTCAGTCAACATTGACTCCAAAAATTTGTGAATCGAATCAATCATCAGACCGTTATAATGGAGCACTTCGAGCTCTATACGGAGAGTGCGAATATTATTTGCCAACAATAAGGAAGATCCAGCGTCATACGAAGATGAGCTACATCAGATCCGCCACTGTCATCGGTGCTGACATCCTCGGAGTCCAAGATTCGCTGCCAAGGAAGACGGCATCAACAAGTAAGCGTCACTACCACATCAACATTTAGCACCTTGAACCATTGGCTCGCCTTGGCTGTTACCCATTCACCGCCATCAGCCATCCCGCGATACAGATTGCCCCGGTCTAAAGATAGTGATCAAGGCCTTGAAGGCATTCAAGGAACTCGCGGGTATCAGGATCACCGGGGTAATAAAAGTCGTTTGGAAATGCCATTGGTATCGTGTGCGACTTCGTGCCCGTGATAATGGCAGCGCTTTCTTTCTCGTCGCATGGCCGAGTTGGTTTGTGCTGGTCTCAAGGACAAATTCGATCGCAAGGGACGCGTCTATGATATTATCTTGGCGACTCAAGATATGGATATGGTTGATGCCTCTTAGGCAGTAAAACATCGAACTATTGTAGTCATTCATGTAAAATTGACTCTCGGCTTCTTTCTGAAAAGACGCCCCCTTTTGTATTTACGATTGCGGATAGTGTATTGGGAACATATTTGCGTCGTCCTCTGTTGCTACTTGGGCATCTGCTTGCAAGCATTATGTGACAGAGCATCCTTATCCAGAATCTTTTTTTCACCCATAAATGCTTTCGATCCCGGAATGTAACCTTTCGATCCTGGAACACCCAACTCATTTCCAGTACCAGCTATGATGCATGGATGTATCACTGATTTGGGGAAATATTAAACTCAAGCCGCAACTTTGGAAAAGCAAATCGTTGGTTCCCGCCATGATAATGTCCCATCTTTTCGTTTGAAATGGCTGGTTCAATGATTGGTTTAAATGTGAATTAGATTATGTGGCTTCATGGAGATCACGAATACCCACTAAACACAAACACACATACCTTGGATCCAAGCAGGTCCCAAATAGGTAAGAGCATCCTTCAAAGTACGAATGAACTGTTCTTCAAGCTGGCCATCAGTACCGTGCGGATTCCGCTTTGATGCAAAAGGTGAATATTTATACCCCACGTACCGAACCGAAATGGGGCCTAGCTGTATCGCCACTTGACCCAATCGTCGAACAATTGAAATAGGTCGTGTGATGTGTGTATTTTGTCTTCGCTGTTTCTGCGAGCAGTATTTCTGCGAGCAAGCCGGGTGTAGTCGTTGTTTTGGAGGTGGAGGTCAGACTGACCGTGCCGGTGTCTTTTGGTAAATATAATGTGCTTGATATGATTAGAATAATGACGAAGTGTATGACGTATATTGGCTATCGTTTAGTCAAATGAATCAACGATGAGGTCACCAAATATTACCAATGACGATATATCGATCACCTATGCAGTAGTAGGTACCGGTACTTTTCCAAATTGCTATGGTCTACTGTATATTGCTCCTTTATCGCTACCAAATACATAATGTTATTTGATTTGTATTTTCAGATTTTCTGAAACTTCTTGCACATTGTCTTGTGTTTCACTCGACTGCCCTCCTTGCCCTTCCAGTCCTTAGTTTGGCAATTCCTGGAGCAGTACCAAGTGACTTTGCAGGCCGAACAGGAGTACCTTGCTGCCTCGTAGCATACACTACAGTGATTCTCCTTATCGTCATCAAGATCTGCTCGAAAGCACTTGAGCAGCCACCAAAATGGAATGCTTTCCACATCATCGTATCGAACACAAATGTATTTGTCTCGCCATGATGCATCACGATTGTCGTAAGAAATACGATTGTCAAAAGCAACAATATTATTTGGGTCATGAGTTTTCATTCCTGGAGCGAGAAAGAAATCAGGCAATCCCCTTCCTGGTATCATCGAAACATTGGTCGTCAGGTCCAATATCGTTGTCGAAGTCTTGACCACAACGCGGCCTTTTTGAACTTCTTTTTCTTCAACGACCTCTCGTCGGAATTTTCGAAATACAATCAATACATTTCCCCAACACAGATCAGCTCCTGCGTTCTTTTGGGTGTGAAAGAAATGTTCCGCTAGAGTATAATCACCAGATTCCAGGAATGCAAAGAACATGTCTTGCCTTATTCCCTGATTGTCGCTTGGATTCACTTTTAGCAAATATCGGAAACCCTTAATTGCCTCATCCAGGTCACCAAGTTCTTGTTGCGCATGCGCCAAACCGGCCACAGCTCGGAGATACGGACGGTGTTCAATATGTCCCCATTCAATGGTATCTTGATGCTCGAATTCGGGCCATAATAACTTAGCGCAAGTGACGGCCTTCTCATAAGCTTCCTTTGCTTCTTGTGGCTTTTTCGGAGTCACCATGTGCAGATAGATGTATCCCCAATTGGCAAAGGCATCCACACTGAAAGGGAATATTTGAAGGGCTCTCGTAAGGTGATAGACTCGCTCATCTATCGGCGTTTCTTCGTAGATCTCATAGACAACGTCACGTGCTCGTTCGTCCGCTTCGTATCTTGTTATGGGTGTCAGAAAGTCAGGCGGCGATGACGACGAGTATCTTGAAATCTCTGATGCTGGGGGTATGGGAGGAAGTGGAGGAAAGTCCATTCTATTCTATTGCTGTTGTTTTGTTGATGTTGGTACACTTACAACTATAGTGCTGTCGTTGCTTTCAGCACGCTGTCAATTGTTGCTGTCAATTGTTGCTGCTCGTCAGCAACGAGTCTTTTTTTAAATTTTATTTTGTCATATTGTCATATTTTTATAATTATGACCCGGATCCACGAAACTACGGCTAAAATGCCTCCTTTTGGTGCAATTTACCATAGAGATTCTAAATCGAACAGTATTTTTCAGAACATCTCGCTTTTTGACCCCAATAGCATCGCTTTTTTTGTGGAAAAAAATCATTTTGACTTTGTATCGTTTGCATGCTCGACGTCGAATTTTGAATTTGTGCGTCAAACCCATTTCACACTATATATGCGCTCGCCCGCGATATTTGCGAGATATATATATTGAATATCTACGCAAAAGTCTTCATATTGTATCTTTATAATTTATTGTGATGTTGAATTGCATGCAATCATGGGCTGCATGCAATCATGTATGCAATCATACGCCCAGTAATGAGTCCCCTTCTGCACAAGATACGTCCTCTTGACACCAATCCGTCCAGTCAAAGCAACAAATAGAACATCAAGGCACCAAGATCTACACGGAAACTCGTTCGCAGGGTCCAACTACGAAAATTGACGATTTGCCGCACATCAAGGTGCAATAACGATGCACTTGTTCCCCTCGTGTGGACAAGACTGTGTGGGCGCTCAATGATACTGCAGGGAGGAACGAACTGATATGATACACAAAGGTCGAAGGGGAGATAAAATCGAAGCAACTAGTAGTGAACAGAGAAAAAATCGAAATGAAATGAAACCCTCCTAGAGCGCCCAGTGGAGCTCAGAGTGTTTTACTAGTGCAAGCCAGTGGTGGTGCTGGTGGTTGCACCAGGAGTCCTCCTTGTCTACTACTATCCTGCAAATCTTATGTTTCCACAACAAGCAGTATCAGTGCTGGCCTTGCCATGTCCTCGTGTTGAATACCTTTTTCTAGTGGGAAGCATAAGCGGGGTATCGAGTGAGGCGCATCTCCGAAGCGACGGTTGTTCTTCTACAGGTTGATATTGTTTGGGGACCATCATGAGACAAGCGGACACGGATCTTGAAAGTCCTTGTTGCTTAGACTTTAAATCACTCTTTTCATTGCTTTTCAGCAAACTTCTCAGCCTGGTGATGTCACAAACAGTGGTGCTTTGATTCGAAGAATTGGCGTTACCGTCTGATCCTCTGTGGACTACGATTGCAGGACTTGGTGACCACCGACAGTAAGTCTTGCACATCATGCTGGATAGACCTGATTGTATTTCGCTGAATCTTTCATTGCTTGACTTGGGTAGATGTGCATTGTCGTTCACAATTCGACAGGATGCTATGGTAACGTGCTTTTCCTTGAGAAGCTTTGTGAAATATTCTTGAAGCGGTGGTGAACTCATCGTTTGGCAAAGACTGTTCTTCGAATTTTGTGAGCAGATTGTGAAGGAAGCTTTGTGCATTGGAGTGCTGAGCAGAAGCTTAGCCGTCTGTAGTTTTTAAAAAAAAGTAAACTTGTATCTAACTAAGAAAGTGAAAGAAGTGAATTTGGAATTCGGTGTTCAAACAGAGTTATTCCAGTGAAACGAAACAGTGTATGGTACAGCAAGTGAAAAGGCGCGGGGAAACGAACTCATTTTTTTCAAATTTAAAAAAACATACCGGTACGTGTACTCTTTCTCGACCAGGGATATTCCGCATTTTGGTGTGAATCTGAACTGGAATCGGGGCCTGACCGGCTTGCTCACTCCTTCTGCACGGGGATCTGTGATCCGACATCATCACTGCTCGTGGAATTCATTCTTGGTCGGTGATCGTCGCGTTTTGGTCGTAGTTCGTTAAATTTTCTGTGAATTTTTCACAGATGTTCCGAAATCTCTGTGAATGACCAACAGATGTTCCGAAATCTCTGTGAATTTTTCACAGGTTTTTTAAGGGTCTTCACAGATGTTCCGAAATTGCCGTGAAGTTTCAACAGAGGTTCAGCTGACATGCGTGCACGCATGCCCTTTCGTAAAAGCACCATACAACTTCCGTAGAGGAAAAAACGGTTAATGTTGTGCGCAAGCAATGCTTGGTCGTCTGGGTCCAAAATTCTGTGAATTTTTCACAGATGTTCCGAAATCTCTGTGAATTTTTCACAGATGTTCCGAAACTTCTGTGAATTTTTCACAGGTTTTTTTAGGGTCTTCACAGATGTTCCGAAATGTCGAAATTGTGGCGAATGGTGGGTTCAGCTAGGAATATGACATTTATGGCTGCACTATGTAAAACTAGTCGTAGACTTTTTTCCACGGTCGTCTGAGTCAAAAAGTCTGTAAATTTTCTATCGTCTGAGTCAAAAATTCTGTGAATTTTTCACAGATGTTCCGAAATCTCTGTGAATTTTTCACAGATGTTCCGAAACAAACAATTTGATGCGTCATCGATTTGCACAACAATGACTGCGGAAAGAGATTGCTGTTAGAAAAACGTTATTGCTGTAGAAAAACCAGAGTCACACATTGTAGGCAAAGTCACACAGCGCAGGTACGTAAAAAGGTATGGATCTAGTTTATTCATGATAAATTTTCTTCCTGGACCATAGTTCTTTTGTTTGTACTCTTTCTCCGACCAGCTGATCACCTTTGCTTCCAGTGCCCAAAGAACTTTCACCCAGTGCCATAGGTTGTCGTCTTGGTCCCGTTGTGTGCTTATCCCAGAAGCTGAGGCAAGGGAGTTGATTGCAACTAGCAATCGCTTAAGCCCCTCCTTGCTCCTGTCAGATGGGCGGAGCCCCAAGTCTTTGTTCGTACAATTCAAAATGTCTTGCCAGAGAATGAATAGAGTGCTGGGGCGTTGGCCAAAATGAGCCTTGAAAACTCCAATATTATGCTCCTTGAAGTTGTCATCAGTAATTGTGGTAGGTGAACCCCCAATCATTTCAAATCCGTAGATCAGCACCTGTTCTGGTGTCACTTCGATTCCAAGCATCATCCTGAAAGATTCTGAAACTCTCTTCGCGTTTTCTCTTCAAAATCTCAAGCAAGCGTGACCAAATTTGAAAAAAACGGTTAAGTTGGCACCGTCTTCTGAGTTGAATTTTCTATCGCCTGAGTCAAAAATTCTGTGAATTTTCTATCGTCTGAGTCAAAAATTCTGTGAATTTTTCACAGATGTTCCGAAATCTCTGTGAATTTTTCACAGATGTTCCGAAACTTCTGTGAAAAATTTACAGGTTTTTTTGGGGTCATTACAGATGTTCCGCAATTGCTGTAAAAATAAAACAAACTTTAAAATTTAATCTGGCGAATGAAGTTGAATACTTAACGGCATTGTGAACATTTATAAAATTCCTTGTCGTAGAAGTTTCTTTCTGGCAGGCAATAAGTGAAAGTCGATTTTTGAAGTTTCGTGCAGAAGAGGGTGAAAATGACCACATCGACTGTCCAAAAAAAAGAGAAAGCTGGCTTCACAGAAAACTGCGGGATATCCCAGAAGTGAAAACGATTCAAATATCAGTGAAATTCGCCTTTTTTTAAAATATACCGATATGTTGCGCTCCCACTTCAACATTTTCACTTGGATGTTATTCGAGCAGAAGAAGTGACTGCTTTGACGACACCATCTACAAAGTACCGGGGGGTTTGGCCGCATCGATCGAGGCTTTGATGATAGCTGCCAAAGAAAGTACTTCTGTACAGCACTATAGTCTTAAATGGACATTTAACTACCGATGGATTTTAAACTAGAAAGCTTCCCAACGCAACAACAAGTGTTACAACACTGCCGTAGCTAAAGCTCAAGACATTCGAAAATGCACCACTAGTGGAACTCTCAGAGGATTCGGTTGCGTATTCGTCCATCAACTGATCCAGCTTTTCCACAACGCACTTTTGGAAAAGCCCTTCAACGAGATTTTGTGCTAGCTCTACAGGGATTGCTGGAGGTGTGTTACCTCCACCACCATTGCTGGCTGCCACTGATGCGGTCTCCAAGAGCTTGGCACACAACCCGTAAATCTCTTCGGCCTTCAGTTTTTCTGCGGTATGGCCAGCCAACATGCGATTGTCATGCTGCATTGTTTGCTCTTTGATGGAGGCAACGAGCTCCAAACGACGAGACGAGGAGGAGGAGCAAGAGACAACACAATCTCCAGACTGAGGAGGAGCTGTCTGCAAGCTCAAGGCATCTTGGGCGATGCAGTTCATAAAGGTTTCAAACTCATCAATGCAAGGTTGGCAACAGTCGACAACCTCACAGGTTGGATCCATAATGTCGCTCTGAAAGGCCTGACAAACGAGGATGGAGGTGGCAGATGCGGAAGCATAGGGGTTCGTGGCGGGTAAATCAGATTCGGAACAGGTAGAGTTGCAAGTGTCTGCGTTGTCAATGTAGCAGTTGCCAAGATCGGTGATGGTTGTGTTCATGCAGGCTGGTAGACTGTCAATGATTTCTTGATACTCGGTGGTAATGCAAGCAACGTAGGAATCAATGCAACCTTGGACGTCAGCAGCAGTGATATCGGTACCAGTAGAGGTAGCAGTGGCGTTAGCATCTTGGACACAAGTCTGGACCTCAGTGACAGAGGTCTCGTCAAAGCACTCGGTGTAGGCGCTGAGGCAAGTCAGGGTTGTAGTGACGTCGGCACTTTCGTCACTGAAGCACTCTCCAACAGCACTCAAGATCTCTGCATAATCATTGGCTTTGACGTAGTGATGACTGGTACCAAGAAGGAACAACAAAGCGGTGAGGAAAAAGGAACGGATCATTTTCAAAGCTTTCTTATTTATGTCGTGTGCCTCGAGTTGTGACAAAGATCCAGATTTTGATTTTATGAAGGATCTCCATATATCTTATTTGTCTGCAAAATAAACCTCGTGCACTGGCATAATATAATCTTGCATTCATTTGAGCGTAAATTGTGCATAGCCATTATTACAAAAATTGAACCATGGCGTTTCTCTAAATGAAAACACTGATGATTGAATGAAATTTTGCAGGAAAACGCCATGGAATCCCAGTTGGCGCTCACTAGCCAATCCTCCAAAACTGCACAGATCGGCGAGGAGTGACAATATTTCACTACATGCAGAGAAGATACGGTTCAAGTTTGCAAGGCGCAGTCAGAGCCACTGGCACCCCTAATATTTATCATAATCCGTTATTGTCAAAAAGCTTTCTTTGAATACATACTACCTGCATTGGAACTATTGAAGCAAAACGACGAGGCCAGCCAGTCCAATATAGGTCAAGAATACAGGTCTTAATACTATACTTATCTATCTAGGTCTACAATTGATTTGAAACGATATCACATTGGAATCCGAACTTAAATTAAAATACTTCCAACCATCATCATGACAATCGAGACTATATCAGCGTTGATGGACTAGAAAAATGCCCAGAACCAACCGCTGTTTCAGGCGCTGCTGTGGGAGAGGGAGCATTTGCGTTGCTGCTTTCTCTGGCTCCTTGATCCGCCAAGGTAATGAGACTTTCAAAGAGGCATTTGAAGAATGCTCCTTCCACAATACGTGTTGAAAGCTCCTCGATTCCTGCTCTCAATCCGTTCAATCCATCTGCTGTCTCGAAAAGGAGACCACACTCTGCCAATATGGTTTCTGGCGAAAGCATTTGGTCGAATAAGTTATTAGCCGTGTTTCCATCATGGCCAGCCATCTTTCGTTCTGGTTCCAATTGACGCCTATGACGACGACTGGTTGCAGTGCACGTCAGAACACAATCGCTATTTGACTCCTGTTGGGTGATGTCCAAGGCATCTTGAGCAATGCAATTCATGACAGCCTCTAGTTCATCGACACAAGGCTCGCAGCAGTCAATGATACTACAGGTCGGATTCATGACATTTGTTTGAAATGTTGTGCACTCGCGCAAAGTCGTGAGGGAAGAACCATCGACCATACTAACATTAGTATAGGGACTGGTCTCTGGAATATCATCAGCGGTTCATGTAGAATTGCAAGTTGCACCATTGTCGACAAAGCACTGTCCGATATTACCGACCGTGGAATTGAGGCAAGTTGGCAGACTGTTTAGAATGGCTTGAATTTCTTCTTCCACACAGGACAGCATATGGTGACAGACACGATGACACTTATGTTCCATTTGTTGTGTAATATTATCGCCATTGTTGTTATTATTGGCACCACCACTTTGCAAACAAGAAAAGATTCCGATAATGGCAGCGCCATCAAAGCATTGGGTAAAGTGTGTGATACAATCCAAGGCTGTCGACACATCGGAAGCCGCATTGAGACATTCGCCCATCTCTCCAAAGATTCCTGATGGCAGTGTACCAATAATTCCTTGGGCATATCCACCAGCAAAGAGGAGTTGGAAGAAGCATAACGAAGAGACCATGAGATTACGGGACATGGTTAGCGACGATATTATGTATTATTCTGGGACAATCGGAGGGGATGACGATGATGGTGATGATGGTGATAATGGTGATACGTTATTATACTATATTTTATATTATTTATTGCCCGGTTTTATAATATAATAATTGAGCGGGTTCCAATGCCTGCCTGTCCGTCCCACGAAAAGATATTTACAGTCACATCAGTCAGATCCATCGAATGATGAATCCAAAAAAAAAATCCACATCACCAAAAATAATATACAATAGCATCATCGCATCGCACTTCTCATCGCATCCACAGCATACATATATCAGAACTAGAACCATACCGTTCTACTACTTCACATTGCCAATCATATGATTCACAATCATTCAAGAACATTCGTCTTATGGCTAGTATGGCTGGTTTCTACGACGACCACACTGGCATTTTCTGCCATTGCAAATCTACAATCATCATCCTCGTCTCAGGTTTCGTCACAGCCAAAACCAATTCCGATTACCATCTTGTCGGGATTTTTGGGAAGCGGAAAGACCACGCTGCTACAAAACTTGCTCAAAAATAAGGAAGGTTTCAAGGTTGCCGTCGTCGTGAATGATGTAGCGTCAGTCAACATTGACTCCAAATTGGTGAATCATCAGAATACTGCGGCTGGCGGCGGAGATTCCACAAGCGATGCCATTTTGGAATTGCAGAACGGATGCGCCTGTTGTTCTCAAAGTGACGAATTACTGAGCACTATTGGGAATCTAGTAACCCTGTCCGATATGCGACAGAAAGAACATCAATTTCAGCACATTGTCGTGGAACTCTCCGGTGTGGCGGATCCCAAACAAGTTCGGGCCAAATTTCAAGAAGCCGCTTACATGCAAATGACGCTGATGGAACGTGTACAGCTAGATACGTTGGTGACTTTGATAGATGCCTCTGCCTTTGAATCGCGATTTGAATCGACGGCGATTGCATCTCGCAAGGAAACCCCAGAACTCTATTATGATGATAAAGGGCCTGCGGATGAAACGGATGATGAAAACCAACCTGAAATGGAAGATTGGATGAAAGAATTACCACCTCAGCTGTTGCAAGCCATCACTGGACAGGGAAATCAAGACGAAGGTAGTGGAGTTGCCGATTTGCTCGTCAGTCAAACCGAAACTGCCGATCTCATTGTATTGAACAAATGTGATTTAGTGACTGACGACAAACGAGTGGAACTCCAACAAGTTGTCTCGACGCTGAATCCACAGGCGACTGTTTTGCAGACATCCTTTGGCAAGTTGCCTGTAAAGCAAGTATTGGGCTTTGCCAAAGGACAAGGTGCCGCCATGTCGGGAGATGTGGACGACCATAGGGATGCCGTCTATGCTGCACAAGCAACCACCATTGACTTAAGTGATCAACTACAGGACGAACAGTCCAACTCCCATAGTCATGATCACAGTCATGCCAGCGAGAAGCAAACAGACAAAGGCCAATCCCACGATCAAGATTGCGCCGATCCCACCTGCACCGATTCTAGTCATTCTCACAGTCACAAGGATCACGATGATTGCAATGACCCAACCTGCACCGATCCAAGTCATACTCACAGTCATGGCCACAATGATCATGGGGAATGCAACGATCCAGGGTGCACCGATCCAAGTCACAGCCATAGTCACGACCATGCGGCTGGAGAGACACATGCTGGTATTGGATCCTTTGTGTACCGGGCCCGACGTCCCTTTCATCCAGCTCGTCTGGTCGCATTTCTACAACACATGCCCGTGATGCGGGGAATCCCCGAACCTTATTCCAAGGAAGAAGATTCTGCCGAAATTGTTATGTCAAATGGCGCCAAGAAGGTTCTCAAGGATTGTCTCCGGTCCAAAGGGTTTGTATGGATCGCCAACTCACACTGCAGTGCAACCTTTTGGAGTCATGCCGGAACTTCCTTTGAACTGTCATGCCTGGGCCAATGGTGGGCCACCTTGCCCCGGGAAATGTGGCCGGAAGGTGTGGAGGAGTACGTCTTGGCTGACTTTGATGATCCCAAACACGATGACACAACTAATAGCGTTGGTGTTGGAGATCGGCGCCAAGAATTGGTATTCATTGGGAATGAATATGCGCAAGCAACGAGCCAAGTCGAGATTACCAAAGCGCTGAATCAATGTCTGCTGAGCGATGACGAGTATCAAGAGTACCAAGAGCTATTGGAATGTGAGGATAATGAATCCGCATTGCAAACCGCATATACTAGTACTTTGGAAGCCAAGGTCATGGCCTTTTAAACCTACCTGCCGTATCATGAAGTAGTATAAAGGTAACAGAAAGTGGCAATCTGGAAGAGATTTCTTAGCTAGAGTGTTGAAGACTGCATTGTCTATAGAGTATTGTTGGTGCTTCTATAATATCAATTTCAAATTTGGATTGTAGGTCGCTGAGACTTGTTGCCTACCGGTACACTAAAATACTCTATGTCTTTGCAGGCCTTATAAACCATGTACAATTTTTTTCTGTATTATCATTATACAGTATGGGTATTCCTAAGTGCAAAGGTAACAGAATGGACCTGGTACATTCGAAGCGAGATTTGGATCGGACTGTGATTGGCAGCTGGTGGCGCCACGGAACATTCCTTGACCAGCATTGGCCGGCAGGCGCGGACCCCACGCACAAAGATTCCGATCGAAGGCTGTTGCTTCTCTGAACATCCAACCCATAAATTTCACAGAAGAAACATCCCAGGATGACAAGTCTTGATTGAAGGATGTTGCTTGATAGAACATTTCACCCATATCTGTCACAGAAGAAACATCCCAGGATGACAAGTCTTGATTGAAGGATGTTGCTTGATAGAACATATAACTCATAACTGTCACGGAAGAAACATCCCAGGATGACAAGTCTTTATTGAAGGATGTTGCTTCTCTGAACATCCAACCCATAAATTTCACAGAAGAAACATCCCAGGATGACAAGTCTTGATTGAAGGATGTTGCTTGATAGAACATATAACCCATATCTGTCACGGAAGAAACATTCCAGGATGACAAGTCTTGATTGAAGGATGTTGCTTGATAGAACATATAACTCATAACTGTCACGGAAGAAACATCCCAGGATGACAAGTCTTGATTGAAGGATGTTGCGGAAATGAACATGCCATCAATTCTTGTCACGGAAGAAACATCCCAGGATGACAAGTCTTGATTGAAGGATCCTGCAAAACGGAACATGGCATACATATTTGTCACAGAAGAAACGTCCCAGGATGACAAGTCTTGATTGAAGGATGTTGCGCGATAGAACATTTCACCCATATCTGTCACAGAAGAAACATCCCAGGATGACAAGTCTTGATTGAAGGATGTTGCTTCATTGAACATTTGACGCATATCTTTCACAGAAGAAACATCCCAGGATGACAAGTCTTGATTGAAGGATGTTGCTTCATTGAACATTTGACGCATATCTTTCACAGAAGAAACATCCCAGGATGACAAGTCTTGATTGAAGGATGTTGCTTGATAGAACATCCAACGCATATCTGTCACGGAAGAAACATCCCAGGATGACAAGTCTTGATTGAAGGATGTTGCTTGATAGAACATTTGACGCATATCTTTCACAGAAGAAACATCCCAGGATGACAAGTCTTGATTGAAGGATGTTGCTTGCGAGAACATCAAACCCATATATGTCACGGAAGAAACATCCCAGGATGAAATGTCCTCATTGAAAGTAGAATGCGTGTAAAAGAGTCCCGCCATGCTGGTCACACCTGGACCAAAACACCAGTCTCCAATAGGGCCATGTGTGTTCTCGACTGATACCTTTGACTGAGAAGACTGAAACCAGTTCCCAACTGCATCAAAAAGCTCGTTATTGGATTGAAAACAAGTCACTGTTGATGTAGGTGTTGGTGGCAAAGTTGGCCCGGGTGTAGGTGCTGCAGTGGGTCGAGGGGTTGGTGAAGGAGTCGGTGCAGGAGTTGGGTTTGGTGTTGGTCCGGGAGTTGGGACTGGTGTTGGGGGCAAAGTAGGCCCGGGTGTAGGTGGAGTTGTGGGTCGAGGGGTTGGTGAAGGAGTCGGTGCAGGAGTTGGGTTTGGTGTTGGTCCAGGAGTTGGGAAAATTGTTGGTCCAGGAGTTGGGACTGGTGTTGGTCCAGGAGTAGGCTGCGGGGTCATGGTTGGAAGTGTCAGTTGCAAAGTAGTAGGCCCAGGTGACTCGTCTTCTATTCTGTTCGGAGGTGTCGCTGAATCAATGTATCCCAAACTCGTGACAGTAACTTTTTCATAGAGCCCACTTAATTCAAGTTTTTCAACAAGAACCCCATCTCCGAAAAAGGTACTGAGTTCTCCAATCACATCAACGGCATTCACTGACTCATCCTTCACCAAAACATCAAGCGCCACATTGATTCGATGACACCGTAGATTGAAATCATTCAAACATTGCTCTTCTTCGACTCCATAAGCATCAATTGCCACATTCCTAATGGCGTACATAAAGGAACCTTCTAGATAACGAAGACTTCGCATGTGCCGGACGACTCGATTGCATCCAGTTAGTTGAGGGGTCAGCAACTCTATCAACTTCTCCTCAATAATGTCGGCTGAAAAGCTAAGACTCATTGAAAGAAATGGAGTCGCATCGAGCTCAAGCTTGTATCTCTGCACCATCATGGCTTCTTGGCCTTGTATAGCAGCTCCGTCGGCGATGGATGCACAATCTTCTGCCGAGGGCGGGATAAGAAAGTCGACCGATGATGATGATGATGAATTGTTCCGAGTCCCAAGCCATGCTCCAACAGCGGCAATTGAAACAACACAAATAAAAAGTAGGCAGCAGAAGATTCGAGCGCTCTTCTTCTGTAACAATCGATCCCAGTTGATTGCACCACCTGCGTCTTCCTTGTCTTCTTCGTCTTCCTCGTCAGAGTTGACCTCGTTGGCGTCAGTTGTTCGTTCCACAGCATAAGCCGTCACGAGTCCATCCATATTCGTACTACCATGATCATGGAGTTGATCTCCCTTTTCAGCTTCAATTCTTGCTCGTCTCTCTTCTCGTCTCTCCTCCGTAACTGGCAAAGGCCTCCTACTGAATGTTCCTTTTCTCCTCTTCTTTTCATGATTATTGGACTCGTGGGCGCCAGGCACAAGTGCATTGGTACTTTGGATACTATTTGCCTCCTTATTCTTGCTTTTTGGATCTTGGTCACCAAATTCAGTTCCACGAGAGTCCGCATGCGCATCTGGCATAGGTCCAGTGATGGGTTCGTTTGGTCGATTCAGGATATCTCGAACAAGATTGGCTCGCTCAGTACGAGCCTTTTCCTTAGCCTCGTGTTCTTCTTTGCTTCTCTTGGTTCTACGAGGTTCATTATTCCTCTTTGTACCGGTGCTTTCCTCATTTGTAGTAGCAGTATTATTAATATTACTAATACTGCTACTATTGGTTACGCTTTCCTCAGAGGACTGGTTCATGGTGTTGCAATCGTCTTTCAAACGCAACGCGATTTTTTGGAGAATGATGAATATATGCGGCGTCCTCAAATAAAATGCAATATTTTGGGAAATTTGTGGGATGCGGGTCATCAGTCGCGTTATCTCAGGCGTAAGTGTGGTCGTAGAAAAAAAGAGTGCATGGCAAAGGAAGACCACGATGCTGCATTTTACTTATGGGAAATTACCCGGCAAACCATATCCCTTTGCGATTCAAGAGATTTCAACGGAGTTCTTCTTCGTACAGCCAAGCTAAGAAGTACGGTATCGTACGTGTACCTACGAGAAGGGAGAGGCCTGCGTGCGATGCGGTGGGCTGAAAATATTTTATCCGATCATTATGCGCCGATCATACCATCTTGCCAGGATTCTTGGTGGAAAGACTAATACGCCGCTCCAAAACCAGCTTTGTACGAAGATGAATCGGTACTGGAGCTACACCACCATTCGCATCGGTAATGACATCCTCGAAGTCCAAGGAAACGCTGCCAAGGAAGACGGCATCAACAAGCAAGCATCACCACCATGTCAACTTTACTTTGAGCACCTTGGACCATTGACTCGCCTTGGCGGTTACCCATAGTCACCGCCATCAGCTATACCATTGATCACGGTAAAAGAATACCCAGGTTTAAAGATCGAAATCAAGGCCCTGAAAGGCATTCGTGGGTGCCAGGATCATCAGGGCAAAGGTCGCCATGTTGGGAGATGTTGACGACCATAGGGATGCTGCGTCTCTCCCACACAAGCCACAACCATGATCACAGCCATGCTGATGAGAAGCAAAAAGATAAAGGTCACTCCTTTTCTAACAGTCGCAATTATCACGAAGATTGCAATGACCCAACCTGCACTGATCCAATAAGCCACAATGATGATGGAAAATGCGAGAATCCAACATGTATCAATCCAAGTCACAGCCATATAGTCACGAACGTTTGGATGGAAAGACCCATGCTGGTATTGGACCCTTTGTTTACTGGGCTTGCTTGACGTCCCTTTCATCCAACTCGTCTAGTGACATTTCTGCAACACACGCCCGCATGATCCGGAGGATCCCGAACCTTCAAAGAAGATTCTGCTATGATAGCGATATCCGATGACGCGAAGAATGTTGTCAAGGATTTACTCCGTTCCAAAGGTTTTGTATGGATTGCCAACTCACACAGCAGTGCAACGTATTGGAGTCATGCTGGGACTTCCTTTGAATTGTCGTGCCTGGGTCAATGATGGGCCACCTTGACAACGGGAATGTGACCGGAACGTCTTGGCTGACTTTGATGATCCCAAACACGATGACACAACTAATAGCGTTGGTGTTGGAGATCGGCGCCAAGAATTGGTATTCATTGGGAATCAATATGCGCAAGCAACCAGCCAAGCCGAGATTACCAAAGTCTGATGAGCGATGCCGAGTATCAAGAGTACCAAGAGCTATTGGAATGTCAGGACAATAAATCAGCACTGGAAACCGCATATAGTAGATCATTGGCAGCCAATGCCATGGCTTTTGAAATAGCTACGTGGAAGTGGATAGGAAACAAGCGGCAGTCGGGGACAAACCTCCATTTTCGAATGGTTTGAGTCCTAAGCTATAGTGTTTTAGACTTGCCCGAGTATTATTATTGCTTTCTATCTTTGTGGCAACGCACCAATGCAATAATCCCTCATTTGTCATAGGTCCATCCAGCCACATGGGCAGACGTGATATGGCTTCATTTGTTGGCGCATGCAAGCATCATTATATTGCTGAAAGTGAAACTGTCAGTCACCATCCAGTCATCAAGTCATCAAGTCATCCAGTCATTCATTCGATGATATCTCACAATACCCTTGCTTATAGAGCGAGTGGCGGGGTACGGGCTACTCCATGATTTCGAATGGGTTGTGGATGTGAATCTACAGACAGAACGAGAATGATCGCTTTGACTCATGGAAAGTTGTAGCATATGATGCCGCGTGTTGCGTCAAAACAATTAAGTGCTGGCCCTATTCAAATCGCTCATTTGCACAACAACAACAACAAGACGTTGCACTCCTGTTAATGCTAACAGCGTCAATAGTGTCTTATAGCTCTTCGATTTTGAGGTGAAGGAACTCATTCGAACAGGAAGCATCATCGGCGTATCCAAAGAAGTGCACCTACGAAGCGACGGTTGTTCAGTAGGTACATCTTTGTCGTGGTGGTGGACCATGAGAGCTGCGGGCGCGGGTCTTCGTGGAAGTTTCAGGGAGGAGGGCAATGGTGTAGGATGCCCCGCAGCCCTTGACTTTGGGTTACTCTTTCTTGTAACATTTGTAGCACTCCACTTGTCGCTTTTCAGAAGCCGTTGTGCCACGGTGGTGGTTGAATTAGAATTGTTGGCGAGGCCTTCCACCCATCCCGTAGAACGGACTCTTTCCAAGGGACTGGAGGACCACCGGGACATCTTGAAATTCTTACTCGTCGTGGATGGACAAGACCGCTGCTGGTGGGTTTCGGTGAACCTTTGATAGCATTTCTTCGATACTCGTGAATTGTCGTTCACAATTTGAACTTCCAACAAAGATACGATAACATTCTGTTCCTTGAGCAGGTTCGTGAGATAGTCTTGAAGCGGTAATGAAGACATGTTGTCAAGATATTTTTTTGGGTTCTGATTTTGTATTCCTGAATTCTGTGCTTGCAGGAAGAAATAAGTGTGGTCGAGTATACACCGCAAACGAAAGTTATGGGATTATGGTTTTATTTCGGGGAATTGGGTGTTTTTTTTTGTTTCGGTCTGACCAACCAACCGTATTTCACCATAGTTTTTACCACAAACCCCGACTGCCTTTTTCGCGGCAGAAACTTCCAGTCCTCCCAAAGTTTTCACCCGACAACCAAGAATAGAACCACAACACCCTGAGTATTGCATCGATAATCTATTATAATCTAAACTTCCGATTCACATGTATATCCTTTTTTTTAAATTTCCCTCTAACGGTCGCATCTTCATCGCATCATTGAGAAAATAAATCTTTGCGATATTATATATACGATGCGATTTTATCCCTCTGAACGATCCTCTTCGACATCCATCAGGCATTTATTCTATCTCATTGCCCTGGCCAGAAGAGTGAAATGGGCTTTCCTCATATGGCTTATGCCTCCAATAGCGATCAACGCTCAGCCTTCATTTCCTGTGGAACTAAAGAGTTTCGAAAGCTCCCATATTACGGACGGTTGTTTTTAACGAAATACCATATGTTTGATCCAGCCGAGACAAACGCCACGGAGATCTTCCAACTCCAGAGAGCTGATGACGAAGAATCCAACAGAAGGTTGGACGCTATGAAAGCCATGGTTCCAATGAAGTTATTTTACAACCGGTTCTTGGATGGTTGGAACTCTCTTGACGCCGAAGTGCAATCCACTGTCCCAGTCGATGACAAAGCTGCAGTGTCAAGAGCCTATGCCAAGCATATTCTTTCGCACTATCTCCCTGAAGCTGACCTCACAGATGCCAAAATTGACGAGTTTTGCAATGATGTCCACTCATTTCTAACTTTATATGATAAAGTTATTTTACAGCAGGTGAAGGGCGCCCATCTAGTGCTACTGAATGCAAAAAAGGGCTATGCCGACAAATTCCCTCTTGGCATGCAAAGCGTTATGTCATTAGCTAAAATTGATGCCGAATTTGCCAATGAAGCCTTGGAGCTGTATGATACCGATCTCTACGCAGTCAAACGACTCCATGGGACGTTCACACGAGGAGGCCTTACAAGGGACCTTTTGGAACTGTGCAACTTCAAGTTATCGCCTGAAGAGACTGATACGAAGTCTTGTTTTCAAACTCGTGTCAGCGTAAAAGTGGATTATACTAGGGAAAATTGGCGAAAAATCGTCAAAGATCATAAGAATAGAGTAAGTGATGTGTGCAAAGGATTTGCTATCTGGTCAACATTCCTCAGTACTCCTCACTCATGATTCCCCTCTTAAACTTGATCCCGAATCATACGCAGCCCAATAAGGCGCAGGTCAATGTGGATACTTTTGCTGCAACAAGTATTTCTGATGTTGCCGTACCTGCAAGCAATTTGGAGTTCATCGTTCAGCAACCAGTTGCCACTGTGGATTCCATCAATACAGTCAATCAATATCATCCCCAGATCCGGAACGATCTTCCTTCTTATCATATCGATGGTCCGATCGAGACTAGTGCTGAAACTTTTGCTCCAACAAGTGTTCATGATATTGCCATACCTGGAATCGCTTTGGATTCGATCACAGAGGAACCGGCTGCGAACTTGGATTTCATCAACCCTAGCTGCGACCTTGACGCCAAAAGTGTGGACCACGTCATCGCCTCCACCGCAACCGTCTATCGCGGCCCTGACAATGAAATCGGTCAGCGCCTTTTAACAATGGAACAATGGCAGAAAATCTTCAACGGGAAAAAGGAGAAGGAAGAAAGTAAGGCCGAGAAACCAACATTCCAGCTGATTGCGAAACCTCTAACGCAGACGCCGGTGAATAAGGCACCAGAAGTCCATCAAGAGAAAGTTGATAAGATGGCACACGGTCACATGGCTGCTAGGAAGTCTTTGCCGATAGAGACCACAACAACGAAAATTGTGGAAGGGACTGAAGTGGCAGCCAAGAATCCATTTTCCATGGATAATAAATCTGACAATATGAAGTGTCCACTGGGAGTCGATTCCAATATTAAGATCAACCTGGAAGCATCAAGCAAGAAGGATGTTCTCGAAGAGAAGAAGATCAAAGAACAAGCAGCAGCAGGAAATAAGGAACCGAAGAAAAAGAAAAAGAACGAACAGTCGAAGAACACGAAGAAGAGAAGTCTGCCAGATAAGAAGAAAAATGAAGCACCACACGCCATCTTTCCAGGCTGTTCCAAACATCAACGGAAATTGATCGATTTGCAAGTGTTGGAACATTCTGCCTTCAAGTCATACATCAGATTTCCCAATAATACTTCTTTGGGCAGACTTCTTCCCGATTCAGTTTGCAAAGGAACTTGCCAACGGAATGGGAGGTCGCTGCTGTCCATAACGTCTGGTCAGCAGCTGGTCAATATCCACTTCTGCAAGAAGTGTTCGGACGATGACCAGGAGGTGCTCTCGTGGTTTTGTTCGTCATGTTACAACGACAAGAACAAGGCAGATGAAGCTGGTGGGCGGGTTTCTAAGAGAACGCGTGTCCCCAAGAGACTAGACTAGACAATGTGGGACGATGAAACCGATTGCATCTCGTATTATATATTTTGTTGAGTGCGTTGAAATTGTCCGGAACACGAGCACTCAATTTTGACAGCACCAGCACACGAGGCAGTCATGAATGCCACCCACGGAAGTCTATATACAAGGACGATTTATGCAAAGGCAAATATAAAATCTTGTTATATTGTTATTTTGTTAGTAGGTTGCTCCCGGAATAGTTGGTAATCGCAGCACAAATCCGGCTCTATCAGATCTTGAAATCTCTCGCCACCCGGACGTTATCACATAGAAGAAATTGCGTTCACCATCCCTCCCTTTACCTTTGGGAACGCTTCCGTCATTATTCAGCAATGGAAGGAGCAAAAAGTGCTCTGAGCATGATTTGAATCGAGACGATTCCAAACCACTGGATGCCACGGTCGTGTAAGAAAAGTACTGTGCTCCGCAGACCTCCAAATGAAACTCGAAATAAGTATTCATACCCCCTGTCTTAATAACCAAATAAAGATGATCGTCAACGACTAGACCAGACATGAATTCGGATTCTTCAAGTCTCCTCATTGCGGTTGCTTCATCTTTGTGGGACTTGTAATTTGCTTGAGATCGTACTTGTATGAAAGCGTCGTCATCATTCGTATCAGAGTCGGTGCTGGGCGCCGATGCTTGGTTTGCAATCTCTGTTGCTACCTCCATCATTGCCTGGCAGGATCCAGGTTCGCCGCCGGCAAGTCCATTAGTTACATCTCTCACACAAGCCCCGAGGGCGAACTTGTAAGATTTTTCAACAAAGTACTTTTTCATGGCATTATATGCCCAGTTACCATTTAGACCGTGATTGATTTTGTTTTTGAGATGCTTGATGGAGGCTTCACCTTTTAAATCCAACTCGCTTAGCGGGCACAGCGGTCCCATCTCTCGAATTGTGTCACGAAAATTGAGAAGGCCCAGGAAGTTTTGTTTCCGACGCCATACGGGAACTTTCATGTCCTTCTTGGTGGCTTGATCTCGTCTCGTGAGATCGAATACATCAACTGAAGTCAGAAAGACTTTAATGTGCCTTTCAATGTCCAAAAGTTGTGCACCGGAGGGATTCTGATCCAGAGACATGATTCGGGACATGCATACCTGCCAACAAATAATCATGTGGCTAGCTTGTTCAAGTGTGGCCTTGGACGCAACTGGTTGGATGATTGGCGGGCATTCCTCTGGAGGCAGCGAAATAAATTCGAGGAATTTTTTGTCAACAGCCTTCTTGAGGGACTTGTTAGAAATATCTTCTACCTTCCTTGCGCAAAGCCACGCCCTCCTCTGTTTCAAATTGTATTGCGATAGTGGCACTCCGGGCGGATCAATATACACATCGTCATCTTCAGTAAGTTTTGAAAGCAGCTGGTGAACATATTTGTAGACAAGACAGTACGCAATCCAATTCTCAGATACGTATCCGCCAAATTTTGTTTCGACCTTGCACCAAGATAGACTTTGGCGTTTGATTTGGTCAAGGACTGGATGGCTAAGATTGTAGAAAGAACTTGATTTCCGCTGAGCCTTTAACCAACCACTAATCAGATCTGTGGAGATTGCTTTTGTGATTCCTAGAAAGCACAAATGCATCAGTGCGTCAATATGATGTCGGATGTCAACACCTGGTACGTTCCATGTAGTTGGATGTGGAGGTTGCTGTTCATCTGGATTGTCCGCCGCATTGCAAAGGTCGGCAATGTAGACCTGAGAAAGTCCAAATGTTTCAAGGTACGCAATACCCTGTTTCTTTGTCCAGTAGCGGAGTCGAACCATGTCAAATGTAGAATCAGAGGCCGACTTCAAAATTGGAAAGGTTATTGGGCGGAACCGTAAACAGTTACCATTAACTCTCGCATCAGTTGGAGCACTGTCGGGCAAATTTTGCGCTGTTGGGTCCGTACCATCAGAGTTATTGTTCATGAAGATTGTTGGGTAGTCCTTTGGAATTTGATAAGACAACAGGTCCATGCGCCAATCACTACATCTTGTACATTGAAAATGCCTAACGTCTGGACTGCATAAACGCAGAGCATTGCAGTCAGAACAGGAAGGCAAACGTTTGTACGCACAGCTTTGTGACAGGTCTCCTGCCCAACCGAATCTTGCCCCGTATCTTCCATTACCATATGCGAGACCGAGCCAAGAACATCGTTCTGGTCGATCTTGGAGAAAGCAGTACACACGCAGGGAAACCGCCAGTTCCTTCTGTGATGCGGCATGAAAGAATTTGTTTTTCTGGCCCTTGAATAACTCTGTCAATTCCCTAACGAGCTTTTCCATGGCAGTGGTCATGTCACCATTGGACGGACCAAGGGAGACCGGGTAAGTATTGCGACCAGAATGATAATCATCTCCAGGGGTACCGACGGATACAAGTACAACATGTACGGAGCCTCGATTATTTTTGGTATTGTTGGTATCAAAAGCATCAGACCAAATCACAACTTCAGATATAAACTCGGTCGGCTGGGTATTGCTTTGCTCGTTTGAAAACGCGACAAGATCCTTTCCTCTCTGAGAAGATCCGTGGAGTGATTGAACATTCTTGGACTGGGGGGAGTATGGTGCATCGACCAAAGGATCCAAAGTCTGGCCGTTGGCTAGATGGAATTGGAGAATGTCGCGAATCGAGACGTAGGCAAACCCTGTATCAAGAATTTGAATGATGGGTCGCGGGAGTATATTTGGAATTGACTCTCGTCCATCAGGTCCATAGCAATTTCTCAGTTGTGCGTGGTTCTCTGGAATTGGAAGTCCACGATTCAACGGATCCGACATGTATACCATTAGCGCAACAAGAACACGCTGCTCAATATTGGTGAGGCGGTTTGTAAGATATGCAAGAAGAATGCAGAATAGGGGATTGGTTGCACCCATGCGTTGTAGGATGTCTAGCGAAGTGTTCCGCTGCGCTGCCCAAGCAGTAAGCAACCTGGGTCCCCATCCAAACTCCAAATTGCAGTGAAAGTATTGCGCATTCATGGGTGTTCTCGTGAGACCATCGATCGGAGTCGTTTCTTCCTCGGTCGAGAAGTAACCTGACAGGTCGCCCTTTGGGTTGGGACACTTTGACAATATTTGTGTCATCCAATCTTCCGAAGTGAGCTGCGGCGGCGCATTTGATGCATCATCGATTTCGATTGAACTCCACTCATCATTGTGAGAGAAAAATTCCATCCCGTTGTCGTTGCTATCTCCCGCGGAATGCTGGGTTGGGCTGGGACCGGTATCCGTCTCCATATCCGTTGTTTGTGCGATTTGGCATCGCTCTGCAAACTGAATTTCTTGTTGCACGTAGGCTGATGGTTTGGTGCTCTCGAACTCAGCAACTCGCTTTAGGTGTTTTTTTTGACGCACATGTTTGCTAAACTGTTGAATCTCAATGTCATGAGCTACAGTGCAGACCCTGCACTTGATCCACCTGTGGACCATAGTGCACCTAACATTGTCACAGTTAAATATCGCCAAGTACTTCCTCTTTCCGTCACGAACAATATCTTTGGTCTGGAGTCCACATTTTCTACACGAAAAATATATATCTTTAGTGCGCATGATGAAGTCGTCTTTGGTCAGTAGCGGACCATCGTCTTCTGACATCTTCAACCAACTGGAAGGACCCCAATTACTTGAAGGAATAAACGTAGTGAGGCGATAGAATGACTATTTATGTAGTGAAGCAGGGCGTCGGTGGCATATCAGCAGCAGCGAAAACATGAGCGTGTTTTACGGTGTCTCTTCGCTAACTGCCGCCGGGCGTAATAAACCATGTGTGCACATGGTTATTGAGGTTTTACCTGTGAAACCAGTGAAAAACGAAGTCGGCGTTGGACAAGTATTTTCGATTGATTCAAATCGTGGAATGCAATGTCATGCGACACGCACACGGTAGGTCCATGTACAAAATGTACTGGAAAATGCCGAGTCAGTCGGTCATTATGAAGGCATCCGGACACGTGCTTTCATAGCAACCGCAAATGACACAATTTCACTTATTTTTGGATCTGCAAGAACATCAAGGTTGCCAATGGACAATATTCGTAAGTTGTTACTATCTCTTGTCAATGATTTTGTACTCGTGTACTGTATTGTATCTAATGAAAAGCATTGCAGATCCATTTCGCTGATGGGGGTGGGGATGACACCAACACTACGGTAAGTCAAGGACGACTGTGTTCGTGCGCTGTGGATACAATACAAACAACCACTAACGTTTCAGATTTTTGAACGTTAGGTCGGTCGTTTTACTATTTATTCAGATATGGATGCTAAATCACAACTAGATTGTCATGGATCGGTGACTCTTCAGGACTAAAGAATTGTCGGGCACTGCGCTATGTCATCGATGGTCTCCTTACGCTGCGATGTGACAATTGGTGATTTCGCGATGGAATCTATAATTTCTGCCCGAGTATGGCAAAGCGCAACTATATATTGGAGAGACGTGGTGGAGACATGATGGATGAAAACTGCTGGGCAAACGCAATGCACATCCAAACTGCACATTCAAACATCCAAACTGCACATTCAACGACACAATCATGAATGGATGGAAGCTTTTTGGAAAGCAAATACGCAGTCGATTTTCATACAATGACATTTGGTTAGCTAAAGATGAAGAATTAAATGTATAGATACTTTGTTCATGGTTGCAAGATATACTGACGATAGAACGATAGTGCTATATAGTAGCTCGTTATTTTAAAATAGATTCAAATGACACCGTGTGCGGGCAGGCTCCTATATGACGGCTGGTGCGGTTTAGTTGCATACGAAAACAGCCGTTAAGCTAAGGGTGATAAGGACGGTAATGATCATGGGAATAGGGAAATGCGGTAGTAGAAGTGGGACTTATCTTTGTGGTAAGTTTTGTGGGAATATGGTAGAGTCTCGGGGAGTCTCACCCGTAAAATTACCGAAATATGCGATTGTGCCAGATTGTTTCCCCCGAACCCAGACTTTTCACCAGCTTTGCGCAAAAATCGCGCGCAATATTTAGAACTTTTCTTCACATGGGATTGCGGTAGTACCATCTTTTCCACCCGATGTTCTGCCCTAGTCCCATACAATTCCTTTCCCTTTGTCTCAATGTTCCCAGCTCCGAATCCAAAGTATTCAAAGAGATCGGCACCAGGTGCGGAACATCCATATCCAATCATGCTAATTTGCGCATGGGAGAATCGATGCCATCCACTGGCGCAGGAGGCTTCAATGCTCAAGGTAGGAATATCTCCTGGCAGGACGGACTTTTGGTATTCCTCAGATTGTTTCAAAAAGATTTCTTGACATGGCATGCTGACGACACGAGTGGCGATACCGGACGACGTCAATTTTTGAGCAGCCTCAATGGTAGGCCCCACTTCACTTCCAGTGGCAATCAAAATGAGGGTTAGGGTAATTGCGCATTTGGTATTCGTACACTTTGTGTGGTACACGTGTAACATGTACATGTACCGGTGAGACGAAGGTTCGACCACTGTCGACATTCTAGTCAACGGGTCGAACAAGATTCACCCGCAAGCGAAACTCCGAATTTCCAGTGCAATCTGTCTACCCGTCTTGGATCCTACTCTTTCCAGGGGTCCAGGGATGCTTATAAGCAACACATGATCAGGAAGTCATTCAGGAATGAAAATGACTGATTTCAAGACTGGAATACGATTACACTGTGGACGAAAGTTACAGGGGAGCGGGAGTTTTTATGGGATTATTTACCTGACCCCCGTAACTGCACAAATTTGAATATCGTACCAGTCCACGTCACGGAGCTAGGATATTTACCAGGTTTCATGGTTTTTTACGGGAAATAGCAGTAAAAACAGGGATTTTTCCCGGAATTAAGGAATCTTCCTTGTAAAAATTCCTAAAACCCTGTAACAACAAGTATCCCTGGACTCCCGTAAAAACCCATGTACCCTGTAAATCAATATTCAAATCATAATGATGAGAGCCAGCATGTGCAAATGACTGTAATACCTCAGTTTTAAAAACGAAGTTTACTTGCTTTTGGGGTGTAGCGCAATATACGAAGGGGATCGATAAATCAATACAAAGAAATAATAAAGGATATCTATAGTCTGCTCTCTCATTATAATAAGAGACGGCTTTTGCTCGATTGCATATCTGTTCTGCGCAGATTTCAGTTTTCGCCTTCAAATAAAGAATCCACTTTCTGGATTGATGAAGCATACCCGAATACATCGTCGAAACCCTCGATGTGATACCACGCCGCAAATGTCAATGTAAACACACCACTTTGTATCTCTTCTCTTCCTGATCCATCACCGCACTCCCTGGCAGAAATTTTTGAATGTTTCCAATATTTGTGTGCCTTCGGCTGAAATATATTATTGGCCATTTTGCCATTTACATTCACTATATGTTCCCAGAATTCAACAATGATGTTCGAACGGGAAATATGAATTATGGTCTCGCACCAGAAGACGAAGTTCGTTCTTTCCCACTATATACATCTCAAACTACATGGCTTGCCTTTATTGGAGTCGGTCTGAGATCATTCCGCAATTGTTAGTTTCTTGCAATTTTGCAATGATCGTCATGTAAAACACATCATCTAGGTACGCACCATATCCTTTGGGAACAAATTGAATAGCATCTTTCCATACATCTTCGATCAGACCGTTCTCGTCAGATAATCACTGTATCGAACCATAGTTATTCACTCATCCTTTACCATTGAGCGCGGACGAGTCCACAATATCATCAAGCTCTGTCCTCGCTTTTCGTCTCTTATTTTTTGTTGTTGTCTTCAGACGAATGACTCTTCCAACTGCTGGATTTTTGCTCGTAGTCAAGAATTTTGAACTGTACCTCAGTACTTGGATATTAATATTGTATGACCCGGTTCGTACTGGATATTGTACGAATAATTGCCTAGAATTTTTTGAATTTCATGTGACAGATGTCGCGAAAAAGTTTTATTTAAAGGAGGTAGTTTTCCAAATCGAGATCAAGTTGACTAACACGATTTAGAAAACTAATAGACTTGATATTGACTCGTGTGATTGCCAAAAAAAACTCAAGAGGCCAGAGGCTGATCTCGTACCATACGACCTTGTTGCGATTACATTCTTAGATAAATTTCAATGCGGTATTACAATTATATATCTTTG